CTTATGGAAAAAATACACTTTCAATAAGCTTGCTCAGACACGAGTCACATCACTGTTGGCCATGAGTTCGACGTTTATGAATTGACAATACAGAGGGGCCATCCAGAAAAAGGAAGAGGAAATTCACTGATCTGTAACGAGTCTCTCCAGAACGTGCCCAAGTACACACTGTGACCCAAGGCTCACAGCAAGCTAACCTGGATTTCTCCTAGGAGCAATGGTTCACTGTTGGCTAATTCAGTGTTCATGGCAACTTCACGAACCATAACTACCTCAAATGACCAGAACTGGCTGCACTACCTCCTCCTTGAAGTCTCACTGGATCTTTCCCTGTTATAAGTGAGGGCTCCTCCATGGGAACTTCTCTGTCACTTTACGTGGCAGTCACATATTGCCTGGCACTACAGATGAATCAGTATCTTATTTCCGAATTACTTCAGCTACCAAAGACCCAGAAAATAATGTTCTCACCACCAAAGTCCTTGGCACTATCAAGCTACCAACACAGAAATGGGCAAGATTTTACGAGCAGAAATGACACCAAGGAAGATACCTGAACTCGTGCTGTGCCACTGCACCCTAAGGAACTGGTCCATCTGACCTACAGCTGAAACCTCCTGGCTCTGCTGACTCTTCTGTTGAATGGGAGCTCTCTGAGAGCAGGGGCTGTGCCTTAGCACAGTGATAGGCACACAGAAAGCCCTTGATAAATGGTTTTCATTCCTTCATCGCCCTCCCTCATAGGAACTGTTTTCAGGCCAGATTCTCAGTCATGTAGAACACACACTATAAGCAGAGAAGACAAGATTTCTGAGAGACAGGAATGGATTTAATACACCTTCACACAAGAAGCTCAGTGGCTCACAAATTATAGATATTTGAAAACATTTACCGAATGAATGAATGAAAGAAAATCCAGAAAAGAATCCACATGTGTAGAAAAGGACTATCCTCTCTTTCAACTTAAAATAAACATTACCTCTCAACATTTCCAAAAGAGGTCATAATACACTGGAATTCCACGCATCAAACAGAACTGAATCAGTTTCACATTCAGCATATTCTTAACTCCAAACAAATTGCACCGAAAGAGTAGCACCAGTTTTTCAGCTCGTAAATGGATAATGGACAAAAGGCAAGCATCTAATTAATAAAACAGTGTTGATTAAGAAGTTTTAAGAGAATTAAAGAATTAATCACTTTAAAAAAGAGTTGTTGACCATGCAGTCTTGGTCTCTACAAGAGATGAAGGCAGATCACAGATTCAGAGCTGAAAGAGATTTCAGGGTTTACGGAGTCCAGCCCCCCCCTTTTACAGATGAAGATGCTGAGGCTACAGGAAGTAGCTGTGTGACTCTGGACAAGTCATTCAACTTTTCTCAGGCTGAGTGCCCCATCCACAAAATCGAACAAAAACACATCTGCCTCTCAGAGCTGTCTCAAGGATGGAAGGAGATGATGTCATTGCTCTGAACACCTTCAAGGACTCCAGAAATGTTAACTCTTACGAGCTGTCATCATTCTCATTCTCATCATCATCATAATCGTTATTATCACCCAAGGGCACAGACCTAGTGAGGGCAGCGCCAGAATCTGAACCTATGTAGAGATAAAAGATGCAATCCTGAACACACACATGATCACTCGTGAGGAAAAAAGCCCCGACACTAGGAGGCCCTGCCTGCCATGTCCTCTCAGAAGAAAACCTGGCATTCTTGGGGGCAAAGGTGAGGAGGGACTGTGCTCCAGGAGTGAGGCACAGCCAACGGAAAGGCACAGAGGTGACTATGGAATGCTGAGTTAGGGCAACAGCAAGAAGGTGGCTCGGGAGCTGGGAAAGAAGAGTGTGAAGGAGAATCATGTGAAACCAGCCTGGGAAGGCTGGAGACACATTGGCACGTTTATTAAAACTGCCTGGGGGAGGAGGGGTGGGACTGAACCGGTACAGTAGAGAGAGGGAAACACATAGATGGCATATTGGCTCACATTATCTCTAACTTTTAAAATATGCACTACCAATTTTGTAGAACAGGAAAAATGGTTACAAATTTAAAATCACACTAAATCTAAATGATATTTTCTTCATTTTTTAAACTTCCACTTAAATTTAAACAATCCCTAAAGTTTTAATGAAACTGTTACCCAGGAAGAATACAGGTAATGTAGCAAATACAGTGACATTCCTTTTCAAACATAGGATTTCCCAGTCCCTTCCTGGCGCTCCAGTCCTTTATAATCAGGTCACAAGCAAGTCAACCAAGTGGGAGAGTCCCCTTCTCAGTCCTAAATTATTAACTGCCCAGTGACCTCACCGGCCGTCTCTCCAGCCCTATTCTCCCAAGCTCCGATCACCAACGGCCTCTTGCTCACTCCCAAAGAGATGTTCCACAGGCGCCTCAAATTCAACAAGCCCCGAAAAGAGCCTAGTCCCTGTTGCCAAGCCCTCCCTCTACCAACCTCATCATCGCAGTCAAAGGTCCCACCATTCTTCTAGCCCCCCAGACTTACAACCTCGGGGTCACCCTTGACCCATCCCTTTCCACACTCAGTCAGCTGCCAAACCTTGTCCCTCCCCCTAGCTCTCCAATACGTCCCATTCACTGCACTCACACTGTTCACCATGCCTTGGCCCAGGCTGCCGTAATGCTCGCCTCGATTCCCACAAGAGCATCCTCCTTGGTCTTCTAACCTCAGATCTCTGCCCCTCCAACACACACATCCACCCAGCCAAAGTCACCCCCTCCCATAAACTCAAGCAGCTCCCTGTAATCTAAACAGACACTCCTCCGAAAATCTTCCCCCTATCCCAGTCTGCCCATACATTCCTCCTCCATACAGACCAGACAGAGGGACTTCCTTACCATTCAGTCCCCTCTCCCAATTCAGGGTCTTGCCCCGCTGGTCCCCGTGCCTGGAAAGTACCCCCTCCTCCTCTCAGCTTCCTTTACTTTCAGACTCAAAGGAAGTACAACTTTCTACATGAGCCTTTCATGCTAAGCCTCATGCTCAGGCACACCCTCTCTGCCCAAACTACCCATCCTGACTTTCCAGCTATTCTGTACAGACTCGAGGTACATGCCAGTTCTCTCCCAGCTGGACTCCAGGGACTGCTACACTTGTCTTTGTTTCCTGCCTGGCACACAGTAGGTACTTAAGCACCTGTAGATTGATGGGAAATGACAGCAAAGGGTGATGGAGGCACAGGGGTTGGTGTGAAAGGAGGAGAGCAGTGCTGCAAAGACCAAGGGGACCTCCAGGAAGTCTGGTATTCCTTCTGATTCTGGGCCAAGAACAAGCACAAATGGGAGGACAGAAAGATTCTCCACCGAGAATCTCAGAAACACCAAATCGTCAAGGGGTAGGACATGCCTGGGGAGGGATCACTGACCATGGCACTGGCTGAGAAATGAACGAGCCCTCAAGATGGCAGAGGCCCCTGAGACCAGCTAGCCCGACAGGAACTGGGCAGGAAAGCCCGCTCCAGCCTCCTCCAGAAGCGGCCACCCAGCCTCTGCCCATAGACCCATGACTGCGTCTCCTCTGGAGAATGAGTAGCACAGGGCAGGAGGGGGAGACTGGGCCTCTGAGACTGCACCACCTGGGCCCCGTCCCTGCTCTGGCCCAAGGCTGTAGGGCCCTGAGTAACTCCCTTAATGACCCCATGCAATGTTCTAAAGGTCCGGGTGCAGAGGCAGGGGGGCCGAGAGGCACCAGGTCCAGATCAGAAGTAGTAATGGTGCCAAGGACGTGGGTCCCTAAAGACCCCTGAATATGAGAGGGCAGAGAGGGAGAGGCCAGATGGGTCTCAGGAGGGACATTAGCTGTCTCTAGGCCATTTTCAGAGGATACTGGAAAGAGCAATAACAGGGGCCGGCATCTGTGTCCCCAAGACCCCTAATCGCCCAGAGGTCATCCTCCCCCCCTCCCCACCTTGCCCCCACCCCGGGCAGACCCTGGCTCACTGCCAAGCTACTGGGGGGGGGGGTCCTGCCCGCCCCAGGTCACCCCCCCCAAGTCCATTCTCCACTCCTCTCCTAAGGCTCAGGACTCACCGTGTCACCCCCTCCTCAACAAACTCCAGGGCAAACACATCTCCCGGCCAGCCCCCTCCTCCCCTTCCAGGCCTCATCCTCCTCACACCCCCCCCCAGAAGCCCACGCCCCTCCTCCTTGTCTCAGGGTCTTCCCTCTGAGACCCCTCCCCACTTATCCCATCTGTGAGGAATGAGCGCGCCCCCCCCAAGACTGGCAGCTCCCTCGGCCCTTCTTGGGATCCCCAGCACTGACTGGCTGACTTTCCATCCCTGAGCTTCAGTTTCCCCCTCTATAAAATGGGCAGTGGGATGGCCACTGGAAGTGTGACGCTCACTACTTTCGGGAGGGGCCCAACCTCCCTGGACCTCAGTTTCCCTGCCTGTCAAAAGATGGCCTGGGGTCCCCTGAGATCGTGGGCTCCTGAGGGAAGGGCTCCCTTCGGTCCTTCTCTGGATCCCCAGCATTCAGCAGGTGCTCAATAAATGCAGCCTCATAATCTGCACCCGCCCTATGATCTGATGGGGGTTGGGGGGCACCAGCTAGCTGTGTGCCCCTGGATAAGTCACCGAACCTCCATCTGCCTCAGCGTCCTCACCTCTAAAATGGGGGGTGACAATGGCACCTCCCCAACATCTGTTAAGTGCTCAGTCGGTGTGTGGCACACAGGACGTGCCGAATAAATGCTTATTCCTCCACCACCAAACCGCCATGGAGTGAGGAAGTCTGAGGATCAGAGCCAAAGGGAGGACTGAGGTGTGGGGTTCAAATCCCGCCTCTGACCTAGGGAAGACCACTCCCCCTCGCCAGCCTCAGTTTCCCCATCCGTAAAGGGGAGGGGACCGGAGTCCAGGAACTCCCAGGTGGCCTCCCTCCTTCCCTCCAGCCCTGCCCGCCCCGGCGAGGCCATGTCTGCCCCTCGGGTGAGCGGCCGGGACCCAGGGAAGGGGAGCACGCAGAGCCACTAACCCAACACCGCTGCCGCCGCCGCCGTCCTCTCCGCGGGTCCGTCCGCCCCGAGCCGCCGCCTTCGGGCCACCGTAGACAGAAGGGCCCGCCCCTCCGGGCCTCGCTCCGCCCCCTCCGGGCCTCGCCCCCCAGAAGAGCAGACACCCTTCACCAACACCTTCCAGGCCACCGTAGGCAGAGGGGCACGCCCTTCCCGGCCTCGCTCCGCCCCCTCCTGGCCTCGCGCCTCAGAAGGGCTGAAAACCTTCCCGACGACACTTCCCCTTCCGGTACTAACGTGGGGACGCTCTACTAGGGCTGCTGCCATGACGACGGCCCCACCCACATCCGTCCTTCTTTCCTCCCTGGGCCTGAGCCATTTATTCCCCTTTACTGAGATCAACAGGCAAGCATTATTCCTAAGGAGGGTGTCCGGTCCAGCAAAGGATCTCTCAAGGATGAATGATCTGTCCTTTTGTAACCGGCCCGACTTCAAATCCCAGCATGCCCCGCGAAGGTTCTCTCCAAGGCGGGACCAACACGAGGACTCCAAGGCCCAACATGCAGTGCGCCCTGACGTCAACTCCCAGCATGCCCCGTGACGGCTGTTGCTCCGCCTGCACAGAGACTAAAAGACCCAGCATGCAGTGCGCCTCGACTTCGAACACCGGCGTGCTTCGCAACCTAGGTCATTCGGCCAACGCCACCAACAATACGGGGATACGAGGCCCAGCATGCAGTGCGGCCAGACCCTCTCTTCCCCTGCCCCTTGCCCCCATCCCCAATAGCCAGTGAGGTCTGGAAGAAGTTAGGAGGGCACCAGGACCTTGGGATTGTCCTCTAAGCTTGGGCATGAACAGCTTGGTGCTAGGAAGTCCCACACTTAAAGGCTGGACCCAGGATGTTGAAGGGAGCACGTAATTGTAGACCAGGACTGAGCAGGAAGAGGGAAGGGATTTTTTTTTTGGCTTGACTCTTCATATTTGTGACAAGAATTTGGTTTTTCTTTTTTTTTTAATTGTGAGAGAAAAGTCTGTTTTTGTTCAGCGCACACACGCCCCTCCCCCCGGGTCCCCTAAACTTGCCCTCGTGCTTGAGAACCGCAGGTTGGGTCTCCAGGAGGCTGCTACTTCCAGGCTGCTATGAGCCCCTGCAGAGAGTCTTCTCTTACCAATCAGCCCGTAGACTTCCTTAGCTTTAAGTAAAGGCGTTTTGAGGAGCCGCTAGGGGGCGCCATAGTGCACAGGCCCTGGGGTCAGGGAGCTTCGTCTTCCTGAGTTCAGATGTGACCTCGGACACTTACTCGCTGTGTGACCCTGGGCAAGTCACTCAACCCTGTTTGCTTCAGTTTCCTCGTCTATAACGAGATGGAGAAGGAAATGGCAAACCCCTCCTGTGTCTTGGCCAAGAAGGCCCCAAAAGGGGTCTCGGAGAATTGGATACTACCAAACAGCTACAATGCTAGTTACCATCATCATCATCATATACCTATATGTGTACTTATCGGTCCCCTACCCCCCCCACTATACTGTAAGCTCTATAAGGTCAAACAGTATTTCCCTTTTGTTTTTGTGTTCTCACCTGTTTAATTAATTGGTAACATTAACTTTTGTACAAACTAATTACTATTAGTCAAGAAGCATTTATTAAGTGCCTACCATGCAACAAGCATCATGCTAGGCTCCACAGATACAAAGATAAGAATGAAATAGTTCCTGCCCTCAAGGGGCTTACATTCAACTAGAAAAATGCAATATGTGTACAGATAAGCCAATGCAAACTGAAACACAAAATAAATATACAATGGGAGATAGAGCTCTAACAGATTAGGAAAGACTTCTTAGAGGAAGTGACCGTTCAGGTAAACCTTGAATGGAACTTAGAGTTCTGAAAGGCAGAGGTGAGGAGTGAGGGATAGCAAAGGCCTGGAGGCAAGAGAGAGAATGTCATAGAGGGGAAGCAGCCAGTAACTTCTGCTAAATTATGCAGCGCAACCATGTAAATATTTAAAATCTCAGCTCATTTAAAATGATCTACTGCATTTCATATTAATATACAAAAACAATCCTAATGCAATGAAACAAAGCACTGCCTTTGGAGTAATTCAAAGTTAATGTCCATAACCCGTAATTAACTTGTCTTCTGTTGCTCAAAGTTGGCAGTATGTTCCAGTTTTTTAATCCTTTTATTAGTTATTTGTTACAGCTGCTTTATAAATATGCTAAATATTTAATAGACTTCTGTCCCTGACCCGTGGTGTAAATGAACCAGAATATGACTTTAAAGTATATGTGAGTTATGCCATGGGCTTTTAAAAATAGATTCTGACAGCTGCAGGACGGACAGAGAGTGTCCCTGGCCCCAGTGGGGTCTCTGAGTTGTCCAGCTTAGCCATTTGCAGGACATGAGTTGAAATTAAAAAGCTCTTCCCAAATCAAAGAAACCTCTGATAATTCAGAAAGACTTAGGAGAGAGGCAAGAAATAGGCAAGAAGGTGAAATCACGAAGAAGAGAATGCATCAGGCAAGGATGTCCAATAACACAGAGAGCTCAATAACCCAGGATTCCATCAGCTAGAAGTCTCTAATGAGGAGCACTTTGCCATAGCCACAATGGAGTGACAGCTGAAAGTGATAATAATGCCTAAGGTGCCGAAAGATTACAACTGCCCAGGTCTTAAGAGACCTTCGTCTCTTTTCAAATTTTTTTTAATAATATTTTATTTTTTGCAATTACATGTAAAAACAATTTTTAACATTTTTTTTAATTCTTGCCATCTCCTCTCCTAAGATAGTAAGCAATTTTATATAGGTTGTACGTATGCAGTCTTACAAAATATATTCCCATATCAATCATATTGTGAAAGAAGACATCTAGATACAGAAAAACATACACACACACACACACACACACTGAGAAGCTTCCCGTCCTTCACCTTCTCCCCTCATACAGCCGCTCCCCTGATTTACGCCCACATCACCTCTTGCCTGAAATATTCCAGTCTCCTCACTGAGCCCCCTGCTCCAGCACCTCCCCAGTTTCCCACAGTTTCCACAACAATCTACCTTGAACACAGATCTGACCCCATCATTTTCTGATCAGAAATCTTTCATGCTCCTCGTTGACTCAAAGATAAAAATCAAACTGGCTGCTGCCTCCCTTTCCAAATACCTTTCCTCTGAAAAGGCCTCTGTATACATGAGCCAGAGACCCTGTGATGCACATCTGTGTGAGCCCAGGTACGAGCTTTGCCTAAAGATTTTCACGGAGCGTGATCAGGGGAGGCATAAAGAAAATGAGATTGAGGCCACCCCCAAAATAAGCCCACTCCAGGTAAACTTAGAATCTGGGACCTTGAGCAAGAGGCTCCATCTGGGTGTGCTTGGCATCCTTCCAGTAGAGGAGAAGCTACTTGAAGGCAAGACCTGTTTCAACTCTCGTAACCTTAGTGTCTAGCCTTCTGCCACGTCCTACACAGAGAGGGTGGTTAATAAATTTGTGTTGAGGTGTTGGACGTTGCACATGTTTACAGACTGTTTCAATGTATCAATCAGTTGTGCTGATGTTTTTTCTCCAAAAAAAGTTTGTCATACAAGATGGTTCTCTGAGAGGGAGACGGGAAAGGATACATGAAATACCATGGTGATGTAAGAAACAAAAAATATGAATAAACACTTAATTTTTAAAAATGTTAACTGAAGTTCCCCAAAAGCATTACATTATGTTTGATACAGGTTAAAGATAAAAAATACAGTTCAAATGTGTAATTTAGTGTTTTGTAATTCTTTAAACAATGAAAACCATGTATGAAACGCGTGAACAGCCCATACAAAGTTGCTGTTACCAACATCAGCCCCTGAAAGGTCTCTAGCTAAAACCCAGGTAGGGGGAGGGAAGGGAGGAGCCTTTGTTTGCTTGCTGGTTAGCTCTCAGCAGAGATGATAAGGGTTACATACACGCTGATCCCCTGGTTATGGGGAGGCCTATATGGGAGCAGCCCCAGATCCAGCACGGGCACTGATTTGATGGATACAACCTGTTTTTGTTGTTTAATTGTGTCTGACTCTTCACAACCCCATGAACCATACTGTCCATGGGGTTTTCTTACCAAAGATACTGCAGTGGTTTGCTTCTCCAGTGGATTGAAACAGAGGTAAAATGACTTGCCCAGGGTCACAGTACTACCAAGTGTCTGAGGCTGAATTTGAACTTGGGCCCTCTGTGATTCCAGGCTCAGTACTCCAACCACTGAGCTGCCTGGCTGTCTTGTACTTTTTATAGCTCCTTCTAAAACATAAAGGAAAACAGGTAAGATTAAAAAAATTTTTAAAAACCCAGCAGTTTGAGGATTTGGGTGCAGTAGACACAAGTTTGCGGTCAGAAGACCACTTAGAATCCCAACTCAACAACTCACTATCTCTGGAACTGGGGTTTTCGCCTGGATGGTGGAACATGGGGAGATGAATTGAGTATAGGATGACTTGAATGGGGTGTGCATCCTGGGATCCTGGCCAATGGAATGTGTCAGTTCCTTGGGAATTTCACAGATGACACCAGGAATTTGTTCTATGTAAATTGGTATTTCTGTTGGAACAGAGGACCCTGGCCCCTTGCTCTGGCTGACCTTGAGCTGGGGTTTAAATAGGGTCTCAAGGCAAAACTTTTGGTCACATGTGAAAAGGACTTTGCTCAAGCTCAGCCTAGGCCAGGTGGTGCTTCCCTTGGGCATTGCTTTTTTTCTACCTCCGTTGTCGAGTGCAGGCTATGAACGGAGGACCTGGGTGATATTATCAGGGCCTGGGGACTAATAGTCCCTAGAGTCAACCTCCTTCCACAATGATGAGATACCATAAAAAGAAAAAAAAGGACCTCTTTGCGCAAAGTTATTTGTAGCCATTTTGTAAGAGTAAATAACTTGAAGAAAATCCAGTGACCCACTGAAAAGGGAAATAGATGTAAACATGGATATAAATATAAAGGCATAGGCACAGATATATAGAAGTAGATATATTTGAAGGTCAATATCCAAATTTATGTAAGAATCCTCATCTCTAACAGTATTTTAAATTAGAGGTTAGAGGTGCATTGAATGAAAAGCCCAAG